GTGTTTGCTGATGCACTGGCCAAGTGGTCCATGTGCACATAGACTACAGTAAACTGTGCTAGGTCCTGGAGATAACCTCCTCTCTCTCCAGTTTTAACAGTGTCTCCAACGATCTAGACACATGTGGTAGCCAGCGCGTTCCTTTTACTCCACTTGGGGAATTCACCCTTATGCCTAGGTCTTCCCCAAAGACCCTCAGCTCCCTCATGGATTTGCTGCTGAAATGGTATGTTTTCCAAACCATATTGAGGTTGTTAACTTTCCCAATCATTGGGTTTTCCTTTTGCACTGACAACAGAGCCAGATCAAGCCTACACAGAAAAGTGTAATCAGAAAAGGCTACCCAAGAAATGTATAGGACTAATAGTTAGCTTCATGTTTACGTACCTGTGAGGCATACAATGGAAAGGAACAATGTAGTTCCCTGCCTCTGCCTGGACAAGGGATATTACCCCCCGCTTGTGTCCAAGATTTACAGCTGCCCCAGCTACAGTTTTTTTTTCAGCCAATTTTTGCACTGTGGTCCTAGAGCAGAGAATGCCTCTTTTGCTGCTGCATAAATGCCTTAAATAAAAAACATCAAATTATTTTATAATATCACATTAATCAAACAAATGCATACTTTTAAATTTTAATGTTGATATAAATGACATCATCAAGTAAATCAATTATTTTCATTATTTAACAGGGCTGAAAACCTTTGGTAATTGAATAATTTCTTTGTGTTTTTATTAGGAAAATATTTTCATGATTTGGTTCATAAACTTGAGTTCTGATTACAATCTCAATTCAATAAAGATTAATTTGGATAAATATCAGATAAAGTAATTTTTCTAAAGGAAATAAATATCTCTTAATGCTGTAAACTATGCAGGGAACCCTGTTAGCTGGCATTATTATTAAAGGTTAAAACGATCAATTTATTGTATAAAATAAAAAAGTGATTTTTACAATAATACATTTTTTTAATATACTGTATATTAAAAAAAAAACATTTAATATAATGCTACATAGCAGACAGCCCCGATTTAATCTCTGATATTGAACTGTAAATTCCATTATCTTTACAATTAGTTTAGATTTCTTGAGCACTCACCTTGAGCATTGGCATGCTGAACCTCAACGTGCCCGATCAGGATGTTAACTGGTTTTCAAAATAGACACATCTGGGTCTCCATCAATCATGAACTATATAAATGGGGCTGAGGCAAGTTCATGCGCTCTTGCTTTTCATTGTTTCTGCAATGACACCGATGAATTGAGATTGATGGAAATTCCGTTTTTCTTTTGAAGAATTATCTCGGACCTAAACTTTGTGAAGGGCATCTCGCTTTTTTGCAATATGATAAGCCGTGTTAAACTTTGCCAAAAGTTCAGTCACCTCGGAGGCTCGACTCGCAGCCTCTTGTCGCTTAAAGCCGGCGGCGAGAGGCCCTGTGCTTCATGCCATACAGGCATCTCTGCAAAGTCTATGTTTTATGCTCTCAGTGTGGAGCTTTATAGATTCATGTTTGAAGTTTGAACACCCTTTTGCAAATTTTGTGTTCTCTGCGCTAGTTCCACACTGTGTACAATATAGTATACACAATACATTTCACTTCGGCAGACTTTAGACGTTGAGGCGTTTTTGCTAAAATATGAGATAATAGACCGCTTCATCATGAGCTCTAATAAATGAATAAATGAGAGACAAGCGTTTTAGCGTGTCAGGTGTTCTACCTATTGTGAGGATGGCTGCATATTTCTTCATGGTGGGCATATGTAACTTTATGTTACGCTAAAATTTGGATATTCTACTTGTGGGAAGAAAATGTTAGTTGAATGTGTTATCAGTAGATGTGGTTACCTCTGGGTGTAGGTAATGTTGTGTGTGTGTTAATGGTGTAGTGTATGTGTGGTCAGATCTGTTTCAGTCTGTGTTGTCTCCCCCCTTTTCTTGTATGTCAGTGAAGACGGGCTCTCTGCATCCTTGGCTTGGATGAGGGCGTGTCCATGATCTAACGGGGGTCAGTTCAGCAAGGCAGGAAGTTCTTTAGCAGACAGTCAGAGCTAGTTTGGCATGGCTGTGTGAAGCTGGGGTGCAAACTTTGTCTCTTATGTTGCATTTCTCTTGTGATGCCTTCTGGTTGTGGCAGACTTTCTGACCTTCTGTGCTTGGGTGGTTTCTGTTGCACAGACAGGAATGTAGTTATTGGAGTTTGAGTTCATTTAACAGTTTGTTAGTGAGCGATGTGTGACTGAGGTGATGTTCTTTGGTACCTCAGAGTTTATCGACGGTTGGTCGTGAGAGACTTGTTTGTTCTGGGTGATTGTTGAACAGGTGCTTGTCATCTCTGATGTGGTGTACCAGGTGATCACCGGCCTTCCATTCTGTCGCTGGTCACAGCGAGCATGACTCAACTTTGTGGTTATCTATGTTCAGCTTTTCTTGAAGGAACTCTTTCATTTGTCTCATGACTTGTTCCATGTCTTCTGATGGTAAGCTGTCTTGTTCTTCTGCATACTCAGCACTGTGCATGTCTGAGTGGTGCTGAGGTGGGTTTTGTTGTCGCTTACTCACACGAGTTGCTCTTGGATGAGTCAGGCGATGATGTCTGGTTAAGTTTCCAGTTGTTCTTATCTTTTGGGTTTCTTGAGAAGCGTGGCTGTTCCCATGGATTTTTCCAGAGGTTGGGCTGAAAGCTGTCGTGGACATGGGTTCTTTCTGCTCTTGATGGAGGACTCTGGTGTCGTGATGCCACTGGGTGTCGTCCAGTGCAAGGCTTGAGTCTTTGGTGACAGAGTTCAAGAGTGTGGATGTTTTGTTACCTTTCTCTGAGGCCATCTTCTGCTTGTTGTAGGCCTTCTGTGTTAGGTCACGCAACTGTTGGATGGTCATGGAGCGTGGACAGGCCATGACGCCTAGATGGTGGCTGACTCCAGGGTGCAGGTTTCTTAGGAAGAGGCTTTTGAAGTTCTGCCCTGTACAGTGAAAACCGGGATTCATCCGTGAAGAGAACACCTCTCCAAAGTGCCAGACGCCATCGAATGTGAGCATTTGCTCACTCAAGTCCGTTACAACAACGAACTGCAGTCAGGTTGAGACCCCAATGAGGATGACGAACATGCAGATGAGCTTCCCTGAGACGGTTTCTGACAGTTTGTGCAGAAATTATTTGGTTATGCAAACCGATTGTTGCAGCAGCTGTCCGGGTGGCTGGTCTCAGACGATCTTGGAGGTG